TGACTGGCGACATCAGTTAACGATGGCGATTGATCGAATTCATCAACAAGAGGTGGCAACTGACCAGTAACACTAGCAACATCAGCAACTGACTGCTGCAACTGACAGGCAGTAGTGTTAGTGGGAGATGACAACTGATCAAGAGTGCCAATGGTTAATGGTGGCTGGTCAGTAATACCAGTAGGTGCTGGCAAATGATCAGTCGCAATACCATCAGGGGGTGAAGGAATTCCAACAATAGTGTCAGGCAAGCATAGCCTATCGAGTGTAGCAACAGCATCAAGTAAAGGCGCAGTGACAGTAGTTTCAGCAATTCCATCAGCCAACAGCTTAATATTTATGCCAGAGGGAGTGGGGGCAATAATACTGTCACATGGAGACAGTCTAGGGTTGGTAGTAACAGAGTCAGGAGATAAAGGCAGTCCATAAGGGGCAACATTAGTATTCTTCAGCGACTCAGGCAAAACAGCAGTTGCTTCCAGATCAGTCAAATGTTGAGTTGGAGTGCCAGTGGGCGAAAACATTTGATCAGTGGTGGGGCCATCAACTGCATCAGTGGGTGAAGGTACGCTAGTTATCGTTGAACAGGCTGGCAAAGGAATATTATTGGCAACAGTAACCTGGTCAGATTCAGACAGTCTAAAATCAGAATCTACTTCAGTGTTCAGTGGAACACTGGTATTATTGGAAAGACGCAACGCAGACAAGGCAACCAAGTTAGTGGGCAAAGTCAACTGATCAACAATAGCAGCTGCAACTGGGTCAGTAGATGAATGCAACTTATCAACAGCATCAGTACAGTCAGCAGCTAACAGTGGCTGATCAGTAGTGAGGCCAGCAGTAGATGAAGGCACTTCACTAGAAATTATAGAGATAGGAGAAGATGGAGACAGCTCTAAGGGTGGCTGGACAAGAGACACAGAATCAGGTAGTAGGGATGAAGAATCATTGGTGGTGGTTTGGCAGGATAGAAGCTGGAGATCAGGGCCATGCAAGTCAGTAGCAGCCGAAAGCTCCATCTTATTGGCACTGCTGGATTCATATTCAGCCTGTCTGTACTCACTGGCTGAAGAAACTGATTCATGCTCAGAACAGGTTTCAATTGTAGCTGTTGAAGATAACCAAAAAATGATGAATAAAAGCATAGAGCAGTGTTGTCATTAGGATTTAGGCTTCATAGAAAATATAACCAACTACAAAAAAAAGTTATTAACTTTACACCACAGTAACAGGTAATTTGACCCAATGGATCAATGTTGTCATTTATATTCCATAAAAGCCTACACCCACCTATTGGCATATTTTCTTCCTTTCCCTCTTGTGCTAAATTAAAATGAGTCAATGTTATTTACCCCAAGCATTCTGTGGCAGAAAGTTTCTTCTAAAGTCCCTATTGAATTCAGTGACAACTTAGTACTTACAGGCTTTGGGCTTGGTCTCGGTCTCTCCATTCTCCATTTTGTCACATCTCCCTTTAACGATCTCAAATCAGATCAACCTTCAGTTCTTTTCAAATAAAAAAAGAGCCCTGCTTGTTTGGTTTTTCCTGATATGTAGGTCATTAGTTCTGGTATTAAAAGTTCACATTTTCCCCTCAATGAATATACCCTGTTCCTGACATACAAGTCAAACAAGTTCTTTAATGATTTGAGAGTGAAATTTTGCAAAGTTAACTTCTGCTCGAGATGATCCCCACAGGCTTGATTTAATTTTTAAAAAGTAGCCTTATTAACCAGCATCATTACTGTGTATTTGCATCCCGAGTATTCTCCACCACCATTTAGACCATTACCGAAGCATTCCACACCCTCTATTTTTCCAACCAAAATGCAGGATCTTGAACTATAACAAAACTCGTTTGCCAATTACATTTACATCCATTCTACAAGTTTAAATATCTTTCTGTACTTGGTCACATTCATTTATATGAACTATACCCCAATTTTGTGTGCAACATTTGAAACTTCACTTGTTGATTTTATCAACAGTACCTTGTCTCTTCCACTGAGCTACCCCCACCACCTTCTCACTTGATAGAAGATGGTTGATGCTGCTAACACTAACATAAACAATAGGGAAGAGTGGAAGATGGCCCACTCAAATGAAATGAATCAATTTTCGTTTTTAGGAAAATGCTCCAGGCTTAACCAGTCACTGTGGTGATAATAATAACTTGATGTGACTAATTGAGGAAATCTCATTATTAAAGTGCATGATTTAGACAAAACAAATCTTAATGCATCAGAAACAATTTGTTAAATAAGCCTACTGACAACACAGTCTTCAAGAAAGAGTTACAAAAATTGCAAAGACAAGATAGAAAAAAGGCAAACATTCTGAATTCTCATCTCCATGTCAAGTGTAAAATAAGCTTTAGATTGATCATTTGATTATAATGTGACCGACAATGCATTAACCACCTGACCCTAACCATTTTGCATTTTTGATGGGATATGGATTTCAAAAGTTAATTGGACTCCTTTGTGGGCCAGCATCTAAGAAAGAGATAGTGTCAATATCTATTCATTACTTTTAGGCATTTAACTCACTACATTCTTAAGTGACATTCCTATGCCCTTAACACAGCTGAGCAGCTTCTCAAATATATGCAAGCGAGATTAAAAATTACTTTCAGAACAAAGTCACTTCATTGGCATATATAGTATATGGCAGAGTTATTTTGCCAGGAACATTTCTGTTTTGTCCATGAAATGTGATCTTAGCCATGCCTGCAGTGAAGCACAACAGGCCTTAATCACTTCCGGTGACATAGTTGGGCATAGGGTGGGGAGCTCGGAAACATCTTGAACAAGGTCACAGGAGACAACCAACAACTGTAGAACCAGAATTATCACAAGCTGGTACTCTTTGGGAAGACATTTTAGAAGAAAAGCCATAACTACATATAATAATTTAACCATGTAGTTACAGCTTGAATAAGTTTTGAACTTAAATGGCTTAAATTATTGTTTGAAGTGATGTTAGGACCCAGGAAGTTGAACCTTTTAAAAAAGTAACGTGTTGGTTTCAAGAATTACAAGATAGAAATCAGGAAATGTACAGTAAACTTTCCCAAATTTAACAAAAAGAGATCTCCCAAGCCAAATTTCAGATATAACACTACAACTGCATTGGTACAAGTTTCACTCCCCAAGGGGATCAGAGTTCAACAATTCAGTTTAGGCTGTTTTATGCCATGTTTTGCACTGACCAAATCAACTTGTCAAATCTATTTCACTTTAGGATCCACATAGCTAGCTGTCACAAGAAACTATAATCCCAGTCTGGGCCGAGTCTGGAGGTAAAATGACTGTAAAACGCAGGTCACCACCCACTTCAAATGGAGTGGTTAGAGTACTGAGAATACATGAGTGCTCAAGAACAGACAAGGAAGTTGTTAGCAAAATTGCAAGTTTCAGATCACTGTTAGTTTAAGGTGTCATCTACTGGCAGTCTACCTGCAGTTTGAACAGACTTCTCAGGAGAAACGGGGGAGGCAGGTGCTTGGGCTGCACCAGGCACAGCAGGAGCTTCTGAGGCAGGAGCACCAGCCCCAGCTAGAAAGTTGAGTGATAATATGAGTTACAGACAAACATTAAAAAGAAGCTTACAGTCTAGATTAAACCCAGAAAACTTTACACATACATAATCATTGAGAATTACTGTAATAAGCTAGAAAAAGAAAACTGAGTTAACATTCCACACCATTTTTGCTGGACTTAACAATCCACATTACATCTGTCAAAACAAGTTTAACAGCACTTTTGTACAAATTTTAAAAAATACAAATAGGATGAGATCCCAGAGAACTTCAAAATAAGAAAGTCAGCAAGGCAATGTAAAACAAATGCTTTCATTTCACAAGCCATTAAAACAAAGCAACAGAAGTATCATACAATTAGTTAAAATAAAGGAATTTGACAACATGAGGAAGAGTCCAGAAACCAGCTTGGAAAAATCTATATCTAATTCGATTAGCAAACCAAAATGGTTTCAGTGGAGAATTCTACCTCAGAATTACCATAGCAGAAATAGATTGTTCAGCCCAACCGGTGCAGTGACTTGCTCCACATCAGCCTTTGCCCACCCCTTTACATTCATCATATCCTTCGAATTCCATTCTCTCTTGTACGATAAGACTCCCCTTAAATGCATCGAAGTTATTTGCCTCAACTACTCCTAAAGGTAGCAAGCTCCACATTCTCACTACCGAGAGTTTCATTAATTCTTTAGTGGACTTGTTAATGATCATTTCACATTTATGCCTCTAGTTTAGGATTCTCCAAAAAGTAAAAATGTCTCCTCGACATATACCCTATCAAAATCATTACAATTTAAATTCCTAACAAGGTCATCCCTTACCCTTCTATGCTAGGGACAGTCCCTAGCATAGTTCAGTCTTTTTCTTAAATCTTTTAACACCTTAAAGTTTTCCTTTTGTATAACAGTTCACCAATACTGAATCAATTAATTTGCTATAGTAAACTATTTATAACATTGGCGGCGGCTTAGGAAAAAGTTAAATTTCCCTTCAGTAGAATTCTGCTTTCTCTTCAGACTTCTGCAAAGAAAAAAAAATTGATGCATTAGGATTAAACAGATTTCCTACTTCAACTGTAGGAGGCTAAAGTATTTTTTAAAGAGGATACAAGCCAATCACCAAGACCGATGGAATCTTTGGTCCCAGTAATTTTAAACAAAAGTATATACACAGCCAAAAATTTTTTAAAGATCATCCACAGCATATGGTTTAGACTAGATGCACTGCAAAATAAAAACGCAAGCACTGATTATTTGTAGGCCCAATTAATACTTTGTCTCTAGGCTAAGTGATGACACAGGTTACCACTTGCAGCCTACCAAAATGAAGAATCAAAAACAATAAACCTACAAAAGGTCAAAATTGTTAGAATACTGCAAATCGTTAATGTGGAGTATCATGGAAAAGTTCTGTAAGAATTCAAACGTATTAATAAATGGTTAACCAGACAATTTACAGATACATTTAGAGTCAGAAGTGTATGCTCCCTGTTGATAGACGTTTAAGTGAGAAAGATTCCTTATTCAGTTCTGATTTTGCACAGCCTTATTGAAAAGAAACAATCCAACCAAATCACAGAAGCATGACTGGAGATTAAAACATCTCGAGCAAAATACATTCTGGATTAGCACGAATTGGTAACCTTTAAAATTACATTTTTTAATCCCACAAAAGCAATTTTATAGAAGGCCACTTTTGCCCCTGGTCACTAAACACCTTTGGTTAACCAAAATTTCAAGTTTTAACAGGGGATCTAGGATGAGCCATTTACAGGAGAGTTCCAAATTTGTGCCGTACTTTGTGTGAAGTATTTCCTAATTTCAGGTCATGATTCAGCGAGCCATGGATGTTACTTCAGAGGCCTCAAACTAGCACTTCACTAGTCAATCTTCACACAGGCAATTTAGAAAGTATCATCCTCAGTCAAAGTCACCTCACTTCAATTCACTTTCAATCTGCTTGAAATTATGATCAAAGGTTTATGTTTACAACTAACAAGACACGCCATCAAGAGTGAAACACAAACTCATCAGGCAAACAAAATCAGTGACAACCACCAACTCGAGTAACGCCTCTTGCTGTGACTTTCTCCAAAGCCAACATCTAGCACTTAATGAAGGCAAAGTCATCAAGGGATTTATATATAAAATAAAACTGTGCAACTAACAGTCAAAATATGAAGTTATGATTCTCAGACCACTAATTTATCCTGATTGTTTGACACTGAATAAAACTGAACAATGAACATCTCAAATAAAAACTCAAATCGGGACAAGATTTGACATCCAATTTGCACTCTCTGTCCATCTCCCTTTCTCCATACCCTGAATTTGAACTGATCCATGCAAGGGAAAATAGATGCAGCCTCCCAGGACTCAGCCTCCCACTGAACTAACAAATCCAGCCATGAATCAACAACAGCTCAAGAAATGCATTCAAAGAAATGGTCACATACCTACAGCAGTGTGGGGCAATTTCAAACTCTGCTTTCTGTGGCCCCTTCTCTTTTCTGCACTCCTGAAGACACACAATTATTGGTTACACAGCAGCTCTAGACATTCAGAATTCCAGCTCAGGTCAGCACTATTGCTGCACCAAGGGAATGCTCCAGTGAACCTACCGTTCAAATTTGACACAAACATAAAGCCCTAATGGACAACAGTCCATCAGGCACCAGCAAAATATATAACCAGTTATAGCGATGATCATTTCAACTTCACTATAGATTCACTTAGCGCAAAGTGGCTGCTGGATTTGTAATATTCTCCCTTAAAAAAAACAATTCAGGATCATAAGAGATAGCATTTTTGCAAATTTTTCCCTCTCGACACAGTCTGGTTTGCACGAGTCGAATGCTGTATTTGCCTGCTCAGTGATATTTGCACGCGAAGTACTTTACAGCAACTCAAGATACAAGGACACACACATTCTCCTTAGGACTTGCACGTGTTACTTATTTTGCGCAAAGTGGCTGCTGCATTTGCCTACATAAGCAATACTTCAAAAGCAGTTCATACAAATAGCACTTTGGCATATCTAGAGGGAGATATGGCATCACATTCCTGCAAGCTCAGAGCATTGCATTTTATTTTGCGCAAATTAGTTCTGCATTTTCCTATATCGACAGGGCGACTTTACTTCGTTATGTATATATATGCTTTAGGTATGTCCTTGCATTTATGAAGTATATTGTCATTTAAGTTCAGCTCTCACCTGCTGAGTTTAAATCAGTGATATTTTTGGCGCAATAAAGACAGTTACCAGTAGCAGGCTCAACTTTTGCACTTAGAGGAAACTTGCGTTTTTCATATGTGTTAGTTTATTTGTCTTCACATGACAACTTTCAACACACCCCTTTACTGTAGTAAACCTTCTGCATTATACAGTAAAAGCAGGTGTATTCAGATGCAGAGTTATTTTCAAGGAACTATGGAAAACAACTGCAAAATAATTATTGTACTTAGAAACTAAACAGAAAACCTGGCTACTATGTTGACAAAGCTACCACCTTAATACTATCAACAACGCACCTGAAAGCTCCTGAACAGCCCGAGACACTGCATTCTCAATGACGGCCTCAGTTTGGGAAGCTTCACTTGCCACCTCAGTAATGGCCGATTCTGTTGAGTCAGCACCTGGAGCCAATTCGCTTGAAGCGGTGCTTTCTCCCCCAGAGGCAGGGGAATCACTGTATTCTTCTGCTGTAAAGGATTTGGGAATGTACTGCAAGTGGACAATACAAAACTAACACTGTCCAAGTTCACTAGTTACCCTTGAGGTTTGAATGCCCTCCCCAAACCCAGAAGAAAGTTAGCCTTGACACCAGGTGACCACATGCACTAACAATGTGCTCCTGCTACACAGTGAAGTGACCGGCATCCCACTAGGTGCTTAGTAAATATTTACTAGTCAGTTGCCCGTAAGCTGTGAAACTGTGAAAAAACCAAGGAGAAACCCAAGTACCATGTAGCCTTGCACCAATACCAGAAGTGCATACATATCAATAAATGTTTACATTTAGAGTCATACAGCACAGAAACAGACCCTTTAGTCCATGTCAAGTATAATCCTAAACTAAATTAGTCTCCCCCGCCTGCTCCTGGCCCATATCCCTCCAAACCTTTCCTATTCATGTACTTATCCAAAATGACTTTTAATGTTGTAACTGTGCCCGTATTCACCACTTCAGGAAGTTCATTCCCCACATGAACCACCCTGTGTAAACAAATTTGCCACCCATGTCTTTTTTAAATCTCTCTCCTCTCACCTTAAAAATATGTCCTCAGCCTTGAAATACCCCCACCCTAGGGGGAAGACACCTACCGTTAATCCTATCTGTACCCCTTATGATTTTATAAGCTTCCATGAAAAGGTCACCTCATGATCGCCTATGCTCCAATAAAAAGTCCCAGCCTTTCTTTCATAAATCAAGCCTTCCATACCTGGTAAATCTCTTCTGGACCCTCTCTTAACTTGTATTTTTCTGCCTGTGGAATATGCTCAACTTTAAAGTTTAGTGTGCTACAACACTCCCAACTTGTGCCAGCCCAAAGTAACTTAATTTAGTATTAAACCATTTCACAACACATAACTTGACAACCTTGAAGGGCAATTCATGATTGTCGTGCAATAGTGACACCAAGTTTTAGAAACATAGCTTCCTGTAACTTGACACCAAATAAACATGTCACTTACAAACAAGCAACTGATTTAAATGATATGTTGAAATCCAAATTTTCATTGTACTAAACCTTTTCAAAAAAAAAGCCAGCAACACTATCAGATTGTTCTAAAATCACGTAAAACGACAAATAGTCACCTTAACCATTAACACCAAATTCCTCCTGTATAAAGCTAATGCAAAGAATTAACAATCTAACACCCACCACTTATTTCAGTGCAAAACAATTTCAAAGCTACATCAAGACTGTGCTTACTGTTCATCACAACCTTCTTAAATTAATCCCCATGAAGCATGCTTCATGCGCTGTGTTCAAGGCCTTAACAGAATGTATAGCTGCCATTTTGTAACACTTGTGGGAGGAACTACACTTCAGTGCTCAAAATGTTTGTGCAAGCATTTTATGCTGAGAAGCAAACAATGCATAGAACTGCATGAGCCTCAATTTCAAGGTGTTTTGTAACTTGCAACAACCAATCACGCCGAAGTGGTTGTACACCTTGGAAATTAAAGAACTTACAAAGCCAACACACGTATAAAACCAAACAGTGTGGATGCTGGAAATCTGAAATAAACTGAAAATGCTGAAGAAAGTGAAGCATGCGCCCATTTCTCTAACACGGGTACCTTTCTGCAGGAACTTTGTAGGGGAAAAAAAAAGAGACCATGTGCGCAACCAAAACTTAAGCCACAATGAATTTGTTCCTTCAGAAGTTCAACTCTAAAAGGTTTGTGAAGATGACCAGTTGAGGCCAAGGAAACCAACATTAGCACACTTAAAAAAAAAAGAGTTGTTAATCAGCTCACTATAGAAACCAAACAAACATTCTGAAATCCCACTCCCACCCAGAAAACAATTGGCGCCATCTATATTTTGCTTGCCTATTCAGTTTTCCACAAAAACAAAAAAGTCATAAATCTGCCAAGAATTGACAGACTGCCCCTGACATTCAATTCAAATAGTACTGTAGTACAAAGTGGTTGCAACACTCACCCTTCCCTCAGCAAGTGGCCCAGTTGACCACAAGTCTCAACATACCCTGGCAAAAGTCACTTATTTAAAAAGCCATAGACGCAGTCATCATGAAATCTTCTAATCATCAGTACACCATTTGATCTTGATTGTTGGATGCCCAGAGAAACCTTCCCTTCACTTATCAATCTTTGCACTTTCCAAAAACATGTTATGTTAAAAGAAGTTCTACATTGAGATAATACCAACCCGACTGGACACTTACAGTCACTGACAGACATTTTGTGCAAGCATGCAGAGACAGAAGGTGGAGGAGAATACAAACAGCACCTGAAAATGGACCATTAACGAAAAACAAAAAAGTGTGAAGCGTATAACCTTAAAAATACTCAACCGTGAAGTTGGAGGGCAATTCTCTGGGTACTTGAACCCACAGGTCAATAGAAAAGTTACATAAATATTAGTGTGACTAAAAGACGATCTACAATTAATATGCCAAGCCTTGATCATTACTTATAGCAATCCCAATGAATAAACCAAAAATAAACTGGCTCGGCACAGTGTAAATAAAACCCATAAAAATACTAACAAAGATCCCTTGCACACAGTTAGCATGCATACAAACCTGTTTCAGCTTGAGGCTGCTGCATTTCTTGCTCTGTGGCAGGAACGGTTTCTGTGGCTTCACCAGGCATTTCTAAAAGAAATATACGCAGTTAGAAATTCATTCATCATAATTAAGCACACCCATGAAAAGGGTTAAATAGCAATGTTGCCAGAAATGTCTGGTTGAATAGAAAACGAAAACCTTTCAAAAACTTTTCCTGCAGCAAGTTTGTTCCAAAGTACAATTTTCATGTAGAAGTTTTGGATCACACTGCACTGTTCAAAGTGTGCAGCAGTTTACTGTAAAATTGGATTCACCAGACACATTTCAATGACAATCAATGCTCAAAGACACTGTGGTATGTTATAAGCAAAATTCAAGAACAAATCAAACCTAACTTAAGGCCTGGCCTAACTTTGGTATTTCAGCCCTTTGTTTAGTTTGTGGCTGAGAAATCAACCACGTAATTCACAAGAGGAGACAAGACAAGACAACTTGCAAACCCAGGAGGCCCAGATTCAAGTCCCACCTGCTCTAGAGGTGCGTAAATAACATCTCTGAACAGATTAGGAAATCTCTGCAACTTGCAGTTTTGTGAAGGCTAAACCAGAAAGGACCATGCCAAAGACGCTGGAAACAAAATAAGCATAGAGAATACTGGAAAACATTCGGTCGGTCAGGCAGCAGCTGTGGAGTTAGAAACAGTCAACATTCCAGATCTGCTGAATGTTTTCCACATTTTCTGTTTTAATACCAAAGCACAATTGTAGCTGTCTGCGACAATCAGCTCAGATCACTTAGCACCTAATGCACAAAAGAAAAGCAATGTGTGAAGGAAGTGACCGTGTACAGAATACAATGATCAAAAGCAGCAATCGTATATTATACTTTATTTGAAACTGTGGGAACTTTTAGTGGGCATTATTGGATTATAGTGAAATCCAAACATTCGATACAACTTCAATTAGACAACTAAAAGGAACAAACAAGGTTCTCATGGTATCAATACATCATTCAAACATTGAAATATACATAATTCAGCTAGTCAATTTGTCCCATTAGCAAAACAGAATTTTTAGACATTTAATGACTTTGGCTCTTTAACCAAGTTCAACTACAATATACCATATTTTACACGTTTAATTATTTAGGTTTGAATATTTTCTTAAACTAGAGTTTTTGGCCGTTTCTAAGATGATTGTATGTAGTGATCATCATTTACTGCAAATAGGTGAAGGCATTCTTGGCATTTGAGACCATAGGTGGCAGAAATTAAAAAAAAAAGCACAAAATATATCTTGGGAGGCAACCATGAGTCACAAATAACCTGGGAAAGTGGTATTGAACATAAAATATAAATATGTGAAGTTTTTTTTACTAACTCAAATCATTTTTAAAAACGCATTTCAAAGAATGAGGCAAAATATAACACCCCACAAAAAAATACAGACGATTTGCAGTTAAATAAACGGTTCCCTATAAACTGGCGGTCCCACACAACCTAAAGGTATGGTCGAAACAACTTTTCGTGGCCTACCTTAACAACTTAAAAAAATGAAATTAAATGTAAACGGTTAACTAGCTAAATAGTACACACGGCCACACAAAGCATATTGGGCTATGCCCACAACTGCTGGGGCTCTTTCCCACCCTCTTCCTTCCAATAAACTACCGGTGGGACACCACGAGATTGTTGCTACCACCACCTCCCTCATCGCCCCGCACATTTTTGTTCAACATTACGTTAATACAACTTCTACTGATCAATTTTCACGACATTTGAAGTACAAAGTACTCCTTTCCCTCGCAAAGGCAATTTTGTACTCATTGCCAACAGTTTAACTATCGGATGGAAGTGGATTTTGCACAGACACTTACTGCTTCAGCTCGTCAAATCCAAGATGGCTGGAGAAAGAGACTGAACTTCTTTCACACAGATATT